GATTTTTTTCTTGTGTGTGGATGCTGATGCGTCGCTTTATTGGTTTTTGGAAACTGGAAATAGCCAAAAGTTAGAGTTAAGACATTAGAGTTAGAGTAAGTTAAGTATTAGAGTTAAACGTGAGTTTTTGCCACTGCTATACCAGGTGGGTTGGTTAGGAGAAAAACTTTCTGATATGACAACAATGCTCTGCTTTTTTCTATATATTAAACTATATATTTTCAGAAAGCTCTGGCACATGCCTACGCCATGGCGAGGGTCCCTGGTCACTACAGGCGAGTCACCTCACGTCAGTTCACTTCCTGGCTACTCTTAGCATTGCATCGCTTTGTGATACTAATAGGCCCAAGAGCCAGAAGCTGGCGACAATATACTTAAGAATACTTGTCTCAGTTTGATGCAGTAAAAGACATTTTTTGATCTGAAACATTTAAACAGAGACCTGATAGTGTCTGTGGTGACCCTGTTGCCATTCCAGCAGAGCTGTGGCGTATGGTAATTTTGATGGAGTGTGTTGAGCACTCAGCTGCAGCGAGCACATACAACCTGTGCACTGTGCACTCACTGAACCACTATGGTCCAGCACAAATAATCTCCATTCTGCTGAGGAACAAGTCTGGTTTACTCTGCAGTAGTCAGTCTCTTGAACAAATGTAATCCAAATGTGAAATAGTGTACCTCATAGGCTCGTACCACAACTCAAACTTAATTACTTGGTACATCTCACCTTTTCAAATGATAAAGTATGGCTGTCAGAGGCCTGGTCTAAATTGGGTTGTACCTAGTGAGGATGAAAACAGGAGAGGCGGTCCCAGGGGACAGGAGGCCTGCTGTAGTTCCTGAATACCAGCCCAGCCCCATGGGGATACATGACCTGTGTGTTTGGCCCGCTGCTCTCTGCTTCTGTCGCCTCAGTGGATAGACTGCTCCAAACCACACTAAAATAACACGCTCCACTCTTCACTGCTATGTATGAACTTGCATTAAGGCGGGGGTTATGCATTCTAGCACACCATGTCTTGCAGATTATCATAGTGACCTAATCATATATTTGGGTCCACCAGTGCTCTTGTTATCTCAGAAATGCACTGGCAAGCATTGTTCTACTGCAACAACAAACATTGTTATGAGTGACATGTGTAAAAATGAAGATACTCTAACAAAGCAAATAAATAAAAAGCAACACAAGATGAACAAAGAACAAAAATACATAATTGTATTTTAGGTTAGGTTTGTATTCAAGTTCATACAATGCTTTTTAAACTTGTAGCCATGTTATAACTTTTCCTCATCAAAAATATTGCCCTTCCTGGAGTTGCATTTCACTTTACTCATGCTAGTCGCTTATTTTTTTCTTTTATCCTTTTTACAAATTCATCTTTGTCATAATATTATTATGTAAGCATGAATGACAACTTGACCAAAAACATGTTTAAAGGCCAAAAAAGGCCAGAATAATCCATAATATGTTCACTTCTACGGAAAAACTGCACTGGTACCATGATCCCACAGACGATATTGTGCATTTGAAGAAGAGGTTGATTTTTGTTTCAGTTTGTTTCTGATAGAGTTTGATGCCAACTGCTGTCACTGCTTTGGTTTTCTATGCTCCTCTTTGCTGTTTGAGTTAAAGAGGTCTGCCCTGCAGCCTGCCTGCGTGTGAGAAAGATTTTGTCACTTTGTATAAATTTTCATCCTGACCACCCTTCATACTGTATTACATACTCTATATATTTGCACTCCTCCCCCTTGCACAATTCCAGTTCTATGCATTTGCAGACTGTTATATAACCACAAAGGCATTACTGGGCTGAGGGAACTCTGCCTTCTCCAGCACACTTTTATCTCCACTTTTCTCCTTACACAATCCATACCCCCAGCCTCTCAAATTGTATGCTCACTGGAAATATTCTGAAAATGCAAATGCAAACACAGTTTGCAGACTGTTGCGTAAGTCCCGGATCCCCCTCATGGCAGAGAATCAAAAAGTGATGTAGTAGATTCTGACATGCCCAGGTTAAAGATCTCAAGTGCCCCCTGTTGACGAGAACATGTCTGCGCTTTGGAGATATTTCTTTCTCACTTCCCGCATGTGCTGATATATTCACCAACAAATAAGGCAGAGGCTTTAAACATAAAAGTATTAGTGTATTAAAGGGACTGATTTAGGAGGGCATATTTGCAGATAATAAGCCTGTTGATTATGTGAAGTATCTTCAAACAGATGAAGCAGCAGTACAGGACAGGTGATGCAGACCATGGGTTAGGATCAGGACAGCTGATTTCAGTGCTGCATAAGTGCGGTTAGATAAAATTCAAAACTTTGAAGATTTTCTGTTTGTATTGGGAGGACACTCTCATAACTGGTTTGCTTTTTGGTGGTGTTTTAACTAAAGAGTTTGCAGGTGAAACAGAATACAAAATAAGAATATTTGTTGTTTGCAAATTAAATGATGTATCTATTTGTGATTTGCAAATCTTGATTTTCTTTTGACTGCATTATATCTTGCAGCCATACAAACTAGGAATGCGGTTTGGAAATATGGTTTCAAGTTGAAAAGCAATGACTGCCCTCTTGAGTCCTCTCCACTGCATTGCACCACTGCAGTCTGCACACACATGTCCATTTATCTGATTGAGGCGCTTGTTGAAACCGCACAGAAATTGAACATACAGAACAGCGTGCTTTGTGCAAGGTAATGCTGAATGCTGTGTGAGTTGTATCGATTTAAACTGTATTGATGATTCCCCTTTGACAGAAAGGGGAACAGCAGGTTGAATGATGGCAGAGAAGCAATGGCATTTAATGACTTGGGCAATCACAAATCAATAGCTCTTCTGAAAGAAAAATGCAGCGACTAATGGTATTACAGCAAGGGAGGAGTGACAAGAATGAAAGGTGAAAATAATAACATAGAATAAATTTTCATAAAGCATAAAACATTAGTATTTTTATGCTTTTGTTTAAAATATGGGTCTTGTGGGCAGTGTGTGAAGTCATTCACTCAAACCCCCCTCCACCAAAACACCCACCCACCCACACACCCACAAAGACCTAAAGTAAAGGCTCACAAAGCTGATTTTAGTGCCTGCATAGCAAATCTTTTCTGACAGGTTTCTTCTCTCCACAATATCACCTGTTCAAAAAAGTTGCATTTTCCTTTGGAGGATGATGGAACTGAGTTCAGCTGATATGGGGCAGATTTGTACAAAGAGGTCAAGGCCAGAGGACACTTGGCTGTCAGACAGGGTTTCCTTGTGCTGCAGCTCCATCACAGAACAGTCCTGGATCAATAACAGCAGCATCATCGCCCCAACCTACAGGCACCACACTGTAAACATGCAATGCTGCAAGCTACCAAATAGACCAATAAGAGTTAGACAACACTGACTGGAGAATATGGATTAAAAAGGTCAAACCTGCACAGATACAATCACAATGTGACATGAGGAATGATGGTTATTGAACAGAAATAAGGCAGTTAATCAAAAGTGGCATTCAGATGCTCTCATAGATTAATATTGACAAATTAACAATGCTAAAGGGCAAATACCTGTAGGCCTCTTGTTGTGCAACACAAGCATCATTTCATTTATCTCTATGTATGGTTGACAACTGACTAAGACCAAATAGACTGTTCACTCACTCTGAATTTTCCACCCAGAACACACAAACCTGAAGAGGAGCACACCATGCTGTCAGAAGATTGGTACCTGCTCAACATCACCATGACAACCATTACACTAGATGTAGTGACGAGTGTCCACAACACTGCAGTTCAACAAGAAGGCAGAAAATACATCAGGAGAAGTGCTTCTTTGGGTGCATTCCCACTTGTTCTGATTTGGTCCTGGTCTTAGCTCAGTTTAGTTCTGATGAAGACCTGGTTGTAGTCCTGTGTGTATGTGTTCAGTCTCAATTTCATCCTTATTTTGAAGTGCATATGTGCAAAGGGTGAACACCCTTAGAGGAAGAATGGTTTGCCATGCATGGTGCAGATACTGCTAATTCAAAGACATCACAGCCGAATGACGGATAAACTTGAAAAGTATATGCCTAGCTGGCAAAGAAAACAAACCGAATAATGAATCCAGGCACATAAGAGCATTAACAATTGAACACAGAAGCGTGAGAGAAACTATTAGGCTTTTTCCTTATAAAGCCGTAATAATTAGGCTCTTTCAATTGAAACGGCAAAGCAATTAAAAGCACCTGATAGAAAGCACTGGAGTGGAAGGGCTCTTTAGAACAGTCAGAGGATAAACTGGCATCTTTTGCACTTGACGGCACTTTTTAAATGATCACTGGTACAGGTAAAGGCCCACCCACAATCCTTGCCTGGCCCTATATCAGGCACCATTTGTTCTGGTTTATATTTTTTTTTCAATGACTGTCTCAAACTTGATTAGTGAAAAAGCCGGAAATAGACTATCTGAAAAGGAGCAAGTATGAGTCACAGACATTAACAGGAGATCAATGTATTGTGGAAACGTGTGCATGTGGGCTTTAAGGCTTACTGCCTTATTTCACTTATAGATACTGAACAAATAGCAACAATACAACGAAACAATATTATGCAATGGTAGCCTTCTTGTATAGTAATAAGAACTGAATAACTGTTCGTACAGTTCATACGGTCATAGTAGCCAGCATCTGTGTGTGATGCCTTTAAGAAGCAAACTCGTATGTAGGCTAATGCAGAATAAAAAATAAATGAGTAGTAGCAGTCGCAGCAGCATGCTTAATCCTAAGGAAAGCTCAGGCTCCATTGAAAACACAGGAGAGTACTACACGAATATTTGTCTTACGTTTCAACCACCTGTACAGACGAAATGAGTGCATTTTGTTCCACGACAGATGTGGCCAGACCATGCCCTTTGCGCCTATTCAGAATTCCAGTCACACACATCTGTCTATTAACAGTGTTCTCAGTGCTAGCTTATAGCCCATTGCTAACAAACAGCGCATTTACCGGTGAGAGAGAGTGATATGATTGTACCTTTGAGAACCACGACCACCTCGGCCCCCGCTGCAGCTGGCTCTCCCCCGTCTGTGGCGCTAGTACCGGGCGGGTCATCTCCTTCAAACAGCTGGTTCACCTCCCCCTGGCTGTCGGAGGCGAGCTGCTCCCCGTCGCTCTTGGAGACAGTGAACCTCTGGCTGCTCATGGTGAGACAAGGCGCGGATGGTCCTTTTTTTTGTCACGTTCAATGTAGGCACCTAACGTGGCCTCTGCAGTGTCTGCAGTGGTCCCACTGCCAGTCCAGTCTACCGTCAGCCTTGTGGTAAGTTTGCAAGGCTACAGTCTCGTGGCAGGACGCGCGATCTTCGCCCGTCAATTGTGCGCGATGCCAGAGTGGAGCGTCTCATCAACCGGTGTCTGGCGCATCTGGGCACCTGGGTCCTAGCGCCGGATGCGCACATGTGTAGGCCATGCGGTCGATGGTGCAGGCTCATGTGCCTATCAAGTTGCTGTATAGGCAGCACAACAGCAGAAAAACGCTTTGAACTTGCAAACAGTAGACCTACAAAACTTTGATAAGCTACATTACACATGCATTTTTACTACTGATGCGTTAACAATGTGACAATACCATTTTCCTCATTGCCTTTTTTTTTTTTTTTTTTTTTTTTTTGAGTCAAGTCCTCCGAAGTGAAAGAGGACATTTTAAAGAACCGTAAGATTTGAATTTTAAATTCCATAAACATGACCTGCTGGCATGTTCAAATCAAATATAGGCTTGTTTTTGGTGCGGGCCGGAGGGGGGAAGTATGAATATGTATATGTATATTGTAGACCTACATGCAGATCGTGACAAGGCGACCCAAAAAATATCTCTTGTGAGTGACCCACCTGAGGGTCGCGGCCCAGTCTTTGAGAAACTATGGGCTATAACATTTAACATATTTGGTATTTTGTTTCTCAAGATGATTATCCAATTAGAAAGACAATAAGCTACTTTTCCATTAGTGTCATTATTTTACCTGCCTCAAATGAGAGTGCAAAAAAATGTAAACGAGGTTGCAGTGCACCCCTGCATACCTGGCCCTGAGTCTTTCATGAATTTCTCATTTGGGTTGTCATTTTCAATGCTGAAATCCAGTTGGTTTAAACAAAGATGACTAAACCTACTACCTAACTACCTAACCCCAGCATCTACAGTCAATCATTAATCAGTGCAAGTACAGCCTCTGCAGCTCAGTGAGCAAATTCTGGTTCTGAGCTTTCACGAGGTATGGCAGACTTGTATCCTATGTGCCCTTTATGTGCAGGGAACACATCTTTTTTTACTCTAAGAGTGCAGGCTACATTTATAGATGCAAAGGGAGTTGGAAAACTAGGTGGTCTTTGAAAAGAAATCTTTTTTTATCACAAAAATCACAAAAATGTTATGATATGTTTCACAAATGAACCCAAGGGAGCTTACTCAGCCTTTAGTCTCACAAATCACCACAAGAGGGCACACAGAAACAATATGGCTCCAAATGCTCCTATTTGAACAAAAAATATGGCGGCCCGCCACCTACTTGTCTCCATGGAGGTGTTACTGCTTTGCCTGGAATGTTCCATAGTATATTAAGCATATTTATCTCCATAGTGACAAGCAGGTAACTCCCAGGTAACTCCTACCATTGACAAATTTACAGGTCAGATCTGTGAAGATACAAGCCTCCAGTAAATGACAATGTCATTTTGATCAATAAGGACACCTGTAATTTAATTTAATGCAGGATCGATACCATCTCCATGGAGAAGCGCAGCTGGAGTATCCCCTTCACTAGAAACGTCGCATAGTGCACGTTTAGTGTTAGGCCATTGTTATCAGTAAAAACCCTTTTTGGGCCATTGCATTGGTTCTGTCCGCCATCTTGTGGTGAGTGGTGAAACTGAAGGTTGAACAAGCTGCCTTAGGTTCATTTGTGGATCATATCATATGCGTAAAGCCATGGCCAACAAATGGCTCTTTGAGCTCAATAAATGACTTGTGTCCTATATTATCTATTAATATGTTTTATAATAATCTTATTACATTCATAATCTCAGTTTCCCTTGTTACTAGGCTCCAGAACCTCAACAGATCCTTTGCTTTGTTCACAATGGCTGCAAATTGGTGGAATATTTGCTGTCAGTTTTTGATTTCTAAATAATTTTCATATTTGGTACTGTACTTTCCATTTCAATCATACAACATGTTTTTGTATTTCATAGTGCTTATATATCAATAATGTACTATGTTTCATGTGTAAACTCAAAATTGCAAACCTTATGTCTTTGCAAAAGTTGGAAATGACTTCATGTTTGTATATTGCTTGTGAAGCAGCTTGATGTTTACAGGCAGTAACACCACAAGCCCAAATTAGCTCTAACATGTGGTTTTAACAGGACATGTACATTCAACTCATGCACAGTATTCTGATTTGGATGTTGTAGTTTCACTATTTACCTAACCTGGAAAGAACAGACACGATGTGTGATTGCCTTAACCCTCTCAGGCTCAAATTAATTTTTTGTATCAGGAAAAATCTGATATTTGGGGAAAATTATAATATTGGGTAGTAATATACAATCCTGACTTTTTTATCCTTTGTAAAAAAAAAAAAAAAAAAAGTATTTTGCACTTCTGGCAGGTCGTTTGCGTGTAGCCATTCACTGAAAAAAAAAGGTCGCTGGATTTGCGTAAAAAAGTTATGGAAAGCGGTTGCATGCAATAAAATTATGTTTAGGCTTTGAAACTTATTTTGATCCCCTCTATGCATATTTTTCTCAGAACATGAACATCACTTTTTCATGTTGATGAACATGCATATTAATCTCGTGAAATGTATAAGTATGTATAATTTAATTTAATTGATCTAATTCTGTACAATAATACAAAAACAGTCTTTAGTTTTCCACAGTTCTGTATTGTCTGTATTGAATCAAACACACAGAGCATAAGTACAGAGACACACAGTTTGGAGCTGGACAGTGTGAAGATTTATTCCAGTGAAGAAGCTCTGGTCTCTGCCTGTGGACACAGGAGTAACACATGATGATCACATTCTGATGATCTACTCTGTTGTACATGTTTAAATACATTTAAAGTAATTATTACTACAATAATGGACCAGAACAGAATCACAAGAACATTAGAACTGTTTCTGCAGAAACAAAACTCACCATGTGCTGCTTTTCTTCCTCTAAATGCAGTAATATGTAGGGCATCTGGTATAAAATCCTCCTAGTGCCACATCACCCTGTAGAAGCACGAAAACAGTTTCAATAGAAGTACATTTTGAAAAATTTGTTTAAAAAAATTTTAGTTGGTTTACTTACTTTGTTCATCTGTGGTCTGTGGTTTGTTGGTTCTCAAACATCTTCCTTTTTTCTGAAACATCAACTATCACATTCATGAACTTCCCCACAGCTACAGCTGTGCCCTAAATATCACTCTTTGTTTGTAGACGACTCTGGAACAAACACATTCAAATCTGAGTACAAGTGTCACACTGTTGTAGATGGACAGTCAAATACAATTTGTTTCATGGAAACAGTCCTTACATTAAGTCTAATTTCAAATAAAACACCACAAACATGTTTTAACAATGACGACATTCTAGGCCTGAGAAACATATAAAATCTTTGAAAAGTCTCACCTCCAGATCAGCTCTCATAATCCTCCTGCTCCACACTGTGTGTCCTCTGCTCCTGTCTCTGTCCTGTGTCCTGTTACATTTGAATTTTCCCTCCAAAAGTTTTGGGGAGGAGAATTCCAGAGGGAGGAGCCTCACCACAGATTATAATAAAATCATGTTTCCTCAACCTGATTAAAACATGCAGGTCTCACATCGACCACAATCAGGCGACCTTTGTAAGATTTAATTATGCTTTACAGAGAATCATAAAAAAGTCATGTTATTGTTGTAATTTTTTTTTTTTTTGCAATTTCAGCAACCCCTCTCGGACCATTTTTTCAGTGTTCTTGCACAGTCTGCATCACCCACGTTTATCAGCATGGATGGGAGAAAAGGCTCCTGAGTTTAAAAAAGCTCATAAAATATGGATGTGGAGTAAGTAGGTAATTGGCATTTTGCTGTTGCAAATCTGCAACGCCTGCCTGGAGAGGGTTAATATGGTTTGTCCGGTGGAAAGAAGAAGAGACAGTATGTCTCCTGATCACCACGTCTGCAACCTACAACAGGATATAGAGCTCCTGCAGCCACGTGACTAAATGTGACAGGAACACCGTGTTGGCAGTGTTGAATTAGTGGTAGTGAATGGGACCAAGTCACTGTGCAGACAATGATTGATCTTAAAACTAATTAGATTATTATTTTTTATATTACTGACCCTAACCTGGCATGGATGTGATTTTAAAGTATAGTATATAGATATAGATGGAGTACATTTTGCCTTAACTTCGCAGTAATGCAGGTTGCGGGTATAGACCTTACAACATGCAGTGATTGCTTACTAACTCTGTAAACTATAAACTCTGTAAACTATAGATTTTTTTCTTTGTATGCAATAAATCTTTAAAAGAGATTTTGTGTACACTGCCCTGTCTCTCCCTAGTACAATAATCAATGAGCCCAGATTTAGGGACGTGACTTTAATGTGCTCATCTCACTGAGACTAGTGTCTCAGAACTAGGTGAATTGGAAGGTGTGGTGAGTTCAAAAGTTATCCTAAGAAGTTACCTTTGACTTATTCACACAAGTGCCGATCTGGAAGAGAGAGATTGGACTGTCTGGGTAAGTCAGACACCTGCAAATAACTGTTTAAAGTGAGAGACACATACACAGAGTCTCTTGGAAAATGTTCAGCTAACGAAGACTGGTTTGCTGTTGATCAGGAAAGGGAGTCTTATCTTAGGGACTTAAATTAGTTACCCAAGAGGCAAAGAACTTGGGCAATTTATAGTTACGTGACTGCAACGCAAGTTTTAATTAAAACCTGGTAACAATTAAAAACCTGGTAATCACAAGTTATAAAGCAAATTATCTTGTGCGAATAAGGTACTTTAGGGGCTTGTGGTGTTCATACACCAAAATCAGATTTTTTCACATTTTCCAATATTCTGTCCAAATTATGCTAGTGAAATAACAATGATTCACATAATTTTACCACCATGTTGCCTCCTGTCCAAAGTTTAAAATGTAATTAAGAAGACAGAAATATACTGTTAGTATATCAAGGTACATATGTTAATACAGTCAAGAATATTTTATTTTATTTTAGAGCATACTGCTTTTATCACAATTATTTGTTACACCCAATTTGACTATATTCTACAGAAAAACATATTTTACCAATTCCAAGGCATCAAGCAGCTTAATCTTAAGAAAGTCAAAGCTTAGCATTGATATTGGGTCTTTTTCTTTGAAGTCCTTGCAATTTACAAAATGTGTGGATGAACAATATAGCAAATAATGTTGTTGTAAAGATGTAAGCTGTAAAAAGTAAAACCAGAATACTTTACCATAATCAGTATTAAACCTCTAAGGTTTTGGTAGATTCAGACATGCAGCTTGTATCTCAAACTCCTTGAGGTCAGCAGCATCAATGGTAGTTTTCCAACTTATTATAAAGAGTTGTGGTATTCTTTTTTGAGGAAGTGAAGTGAATAGTAAGAAATCATAAATTTAGAGGTATAAATTTTAAACTTCTGTGTTTTCTAATGTGCAGCCAAATATTTGTATATATAAATCAAGTCTTTTATGTGTAAATGTGCAAAAATTGCACATCTGTGGCACATATAAATCTGAGAAGTCGTCACAGATTTCTTGCTTCATTCTGTTGCAATTTAAGTTAGTTTTGAGTGAATTCTGGATATATTACTTACTGTTTGAGTAAACAAGATCTTACTTAAAATGGCAACTAAATAAAAAAAATTGCATCATTTATTCTTCAGTTTAAACTTTAATAAATCAGCCTTACAATTAGATATCAATAAATCCTTCTGTTAAATCCCGTTATTTTAAGTGATTTGAAAATCTGGTGTAGTGAGGTGCTATTTTAAAGGGTTAGATGTTTATGTCTTCATGTGAGGAAAATGCAGTTGACTTTACAATTCCCATTATGGATCTGTAGATGCAAGTTTATTAAATTACATAATATATTTTGCCTGTAGCCTTAATCCATGCTTTATATTAAGTTGTCCTTACTGTATAGGGAAAGGGATACAGTTGATTCAGTCTTCAAAACCATGCAATCCGAGCAGCTGCAGGATTAAGTTGGTGATATGACTTACCTGTTAAAAACATATTCACACACCATCATGTTTAAAGTGGAAAACAGAACATTTTAAGCATACCTTGTACACTATATTACTTTGATAACTGTTAATCAGCGAGGTTTGGTCAAAGGTAAAGGATTCAGTGTCATTCATACAAGATGAAAATCTGAAATTAAAACATTATGAAGAAGGATATATTCATTAAACATTCAGTTATCTAATATTTCATTTAGAAGTATTGAAGCACCTACGATTTAAAATGCATGATTAAATTCATTACTTTCCGGAGTTTCCTTGTAAGTAATGTCCAGCGCAACACTTGGTTTTAAAGTTAGGAGAAAATTTGTGTATACACATGAATCAAAGGACAGTGCATGTAAATACCATCTTCCAGAAAGAAGAAAATCACATCTGAGTCAGACAAAATAATAATATGTGAAGAGGTTCTTATATTCTGACCATATTCTTGTGTTGTGAGCAGCTGTAATGTAACTTCAGTTGTGCGTTTGTCTGAACTTAAGGCTGAAACAAGTTACTAAAGTTTGCCTGCAAATAAATAAACAAATAAATAAATAAATAATGGGCCTGTAATATATATAATGAGTAAATTAAACCATTATGTTGAGCCCCTGACTCAACAGGGGGAGGGGAGCAGATGCCAAATAGGCTAGTCATTCTAGCCTATTTGGCATCTGTATATCATGTTGTTGTTGTGGCAAACCTGAGTCTTGAAATATCTGTCATCTCTCCATTGATCAGCAGTCAAACAAACAAATGAATTTAAAATCCTACTTACCTTCTACAAATAATTACATAACTTAAATCATCAGACCAGAGACTTCAGTCCCAAGGATGAAGTTGTGGTCCGTCGAGGGTCTTGCAGTCTCCTCCCACTTCTAAATAATGAATAGGTCTCACTTACTGATACCTATTTGTTTGTCTGTTCTTAGTAATATTAAAGTAAACACTAGGGCTGGATTTCCTGGACAGAGATGACTTTTACCCTATAGTCTTGTGCCATTTGTTTGCCATCATTTTATCAGCAAATCCCCATAGTCAAGACACATATCAACCTAAGAGAGCGCTCTCCTCTGTTAAGTCTATTGATTCTTGCAGTGCTTGCTCTATATGTGTGGTTAGACAATTGAACAATACTTCAGAGCCTCGGTATGTAATATCAAATTCTTATTTAAAGGATTTTTGCCAATTAATCCCGCAACGTATTTTGATTTGACTGATTGACACTTGAACTATTAACCATGTCATAATACCGTAAATTGACGAAAAACAAACGTGGAGTTGTACTTTGTTTATTAGGCCACAGTTCATCAATCTCTTTAGAGCTGAGCACTTTTGCCCCCTATTCAGTTACAAGTGAGCATGTTGTTGTTTAAACCTGATGGATTCAACATTTATATTAATCTCACTGTGTATGTAATGGTAATGTAATATTCACTTTTGGTTACTTAATCTTATTATAATCAATGTATCAATATGTGTACTTAAACAATTCTGTTTCTGAGTATTGCAGATTTCATGAGTTTGCAGAAGGTCACGAAGTCCTATCTATTCAATAACAGGAAACATCTTGGGCGACCATTGCTTAAGGAGGATAAACTAAGGAGGATGAAATGAGGAAGGGCAGACTGACCTTAACTCACTGTACTGAAGTGTTATATTTGTGTTTCCTGTAAGCAAAAAAGGAACTACTCCTTTAATGTTTAATGTTTTGCATGTTCCCCCTCCCGTTCTGAGATGAGTAGTTCCCATTGTAACTAGGGGTCCTAATACTGAATAAAAGGCGTGGAGAAACGAGAGGAGGCTTTAGGAGAGTATTGGGTGAACGGCGAGTTACATGTAACTAAAGTCCTTCTCTCGGTACTCCCTCCACGCGTGTAAAAGATATTAATCTCTTGTCTTCTCTCTTGTTATTGAATATTGAGTATAGGTAAAGGTGAACCTATCAAAACCCATATGTCTTATTCTGATCATTTTAAGGCTACAATTGCCACAGCTTATCAACTCTGAACATATGTTCATATAATTTTTAAGATTAACTGATGTAACACAATATTTATTTACATACACATATTTTTAAAACTCCTGACTAAAATGACCCCCAATTCAAACTGAATCTGTTTCTTGTTTGGAGTACAAACAAATGGCTGGTCTCTTAGTGAAGCTGAGGCTCTGTAGTTCTGGCCTCTTCTGTCTGAACTCCTTTAATTAGTGGTAACAAGCTCTGCACAAAGGAAAATCAGATTTCAAAATGAAGAAAATGTAAAAATTCTCAAATTAACCCTCAATCACAAATGATAAAGGAAGTGCTTTCACTTCTTATGGTGAAAGGAAAGTGAGTTATAAGTTATAGTTAAACCTTTAGATATACCACAGCTCTTATAGAGGTCTGCCTTTGACTGATCTTCTGAACACAGGCCTTGTGAGTTAACATTGCAGCTCAAAGACAGCACTTTTTTACTTGGAAGTATCTCGAAGTACCTCGATGTCATCATGCATTAATGCAAAAATTTATGCCAAAGGAGGCTCCACCAAGTAATGAATTCATAGAATTGAACATACTTTCAGAAGCCTGACATTTCTGTTTAAAATATAATTTTTCTTATGTATTCTATGTAATATTCTAATTTTCAGATTTAGTTTTTTTTTATTATTTTAGTTGAAATCTATCTGTAAGCCACAATCATCAAGAAATAAACTCTTGAAATATTTCAGTATCATAAGTCCATATAATATATGAGTTTGACTTCCAGAAATGACTGACAAAAAATATTCAACTTTTTCATGATGTTCTAAGTATTTGTGATGGACTGTAGTTGAACAAAAACACAACAGTATGAACACAGGAAACCCACACTGCTGAAAGGGGTTGCATTTTATTAGGAAGTGGTTTTCTGTTCTGTTGAGCTTCAGTTGATGCCAGTCTCAGTGAGAGAGAATGGAGTCAGGTAAGATGGTGTACACTGTGATGGAGACTTTGATTGGTCTGATCTGTTGTGTGGGGAACCTGCTGGTGATCTTGGCTCTTTGGTCCAGCGGGAGCCTGCAGCAGGAGCCCACCTACTGCCTGCTGCTGTCCCTGTGTGTGGCGGATGCTCTGGTGGGGGCTGTAGCCGTCCCTTTGGCTGTGGTGATCGACGGGAACTTCACCACCTCCTTCAGCCTGTGTCAGTTTATCAGCTGTGTGACTGTGCTCCTCACACTGGGCTCTGTGCTCTGCCTCACAGCTATAGCAGTGGACAGATACCTCAGGGTTTACATCCCCATCAGGTAATATCTTTTGCTAAAGTATTCTTTAAAAGCAAAGATTTTAACTTTTTTTAAATATGTTTGTGGAAAAAGTATTGAACTGACAAAAGTATGTTCTGTGTTTACCAGATCATCACAGATATGCCTTTCTTTGTTATGACCCCTTCTCTGCTACCAAGAGTGAATGCACCCTAGGTAGCACCTAGGGTGCATTCACTCTTGCACTGTTGGGTCTTGACCACAGTGTAGTCCAGATGGTAGACCTGGTTTGGTTGTAATCCTAGTTTAAACCTGATCTATTCCAGGATTAGGTCTGAAATGAGTGATTTACATGTAGGTGTGAACACCGCCTTAGATCCAAAATGTGATATGTACAATCCTGTCCCTGTTGCACTTCTTAAAAGAAACAAGTGCACTAATGCATCTAATGCACCTGAATCTGAGGCTAAGGATTCCCAACTAACAGTCTATATATAAATACAGGAAAGTATGGCAAAAACACAGGACAAAAGGCATTTAAAAACGATCATATTAAAAAGTGTTTATTTAATAGTATTTTTAGAATACAGTTTTGACAAACAACTCAATAACACCATAAACTGGGACTAAAATATAGGGTGTTCTAACCTTAATTTAAGTAAATGACAACCAAACCAAAGTTAGTAATGAAAAAAAAAAACAACAAAAAGTTTATCAAACCAAAACAACACATTAAATCATATATTCCTGTAAAAAGTGCTAGTGCTGGGCAAAGTACTTATGTGTAATGGGAAGAGGTTTTGCTCTTTTGGGAGAAGTAACAGGCCGGACGGCCTTTATTAACATATTTGGGAGCATGTGAAGAGCATGGGAAATTGGCGTTCCCCTCGCGCGGAGTGTAGTCTCCCCTCACTGGGCCAGTTGGTCCAGTTAAGTAAAGTTGGGTCTGAGTTGGGTCTGATGGAGCCATCCCAGACAGACGAAACATCGGTCATGCTTGTCTTTGCTGTGGAGCGTAGTGCTACACGAGTGGCTTCCGAAGTGCCCAACACCGGGAGGTGACGAATCTCAGACAGAATCCATCTTCAATCTTCTCTTGCGATGAATCTTGCTTTGATCTTTCCCAGTGGCTAGTTTGGCACCAGAGAGAGTTAACCAACAGCGAAGCCCGTAGGTGGTGGAGCACATAAGAAATAGAATTATTTTGCTGGTGACCACATTGTTACTCTTACATGTTTTGAGAATATAGTTTTTAGTTTTTTCAGTTTATGGAATTTGATGACAATGGGATTCGTAAGCCAATATTCCTTTTAATGGTACTATGGTATTTATGTTTTTTTACTACAATAATGAAAAGAATGTGCAATTGATTTGCCTTCAAACCAACTTCAATTTTATAATGTTATTTTTTGTTGTATTCTCTTGGGCCTTTTGTTATGGTCTGATGTTCATCTTGGCTAGAATGTCCACCCAAAATATATATTTTCTTAACGTTATAAAGAAACAAATAAATGTGTCCAGAGGTCATCTGAAAAAATCTATCAATCAAATCTAACACATATTCTTTCATTCCCATTCTGAAAACATTATTACAATGTCTACTACCCCCCCAATACTATAATTTGGACATGAATTGAAATGCTTAACCTAAAAATACACCTACCCCATTTACAAAATTTGGTTCATACTTTCAACATATATTATTTCTTTAGGTACAAGACGACTGTGACTCAGAGACACTTTTGGTTGGTGGTTGCTGGATGCTGGCTTGTTGCGGTCCCTCTCAGCTTCGCTCCCATGTTCGGATGGTACGACGAGAAAACTTTGGCAGCGTCAAACAACTCCACAATTCTCTGCCAGTTCATTGCTGTCATCCCAATGTCCTTCCTAGTATACTTCAATTTCTTCCTTTGCAATATCATTCCTCTGTCACTGATGGCCATCTTGTACTGTGCCATTTTTTACACCATTAGAAGCAAACTGAGTTTAAAACCGGGAGATGTTCTAAAGCAGTCTCAGAAATACATGCATAAAGAGAAAAGGCTTGCTTCTTCTCTCCTCTTAGTTCTGGTTCTGTTTTCTGTGTCTTGGTTACCACTGCATATAATGAACACCATTGAGTACTTTGCTCCAATAGCTATGCCGATTGAAGCTGTTTATGTGGGCATTGTGCTGACACATGTTAACTCTGCAGCAAACCCAATAGTCTATGCATTGAAAATACCCAAAATACGGAAAGCATGCAAGAATCTTTGGATCAAGTGTATTTCATGTAAAGAGGGAATTCAGATCACAGGCATTCAGAATAGCCAGAGTACAGATAACAATATAAAATAATCTTTCAAGATTGACTATTGACTAAAAGACTATTTGCTCCCTTCTGAAGATAAGTTGGATGCCATGTGTAGGCCTTTTGACATCTTTGACGTCTTGTTTTGTGCTATGTAAGGAAATTCGCTATTGCTCTTGATTGATGCTGCAGAATAGTTATAGTTTTGTGTGCTTGGACTTTTTTGCTGTTATGAATGTAGAAAAGATGTATTGATTTAGTATTGAGTATTTAAATAAACCATTTAAAAATCTTGTCTCATTTTCGTGGACCCAGTCTCTTTTCTTGTCTTGTGGAAATTGTGTTTGATCCCACCCCTAATAACTAAATTGTTTTAACCAATGTTTTACCAATGGAATTATTAGAGCTACCTTGATTAAATCCAAAACGAAATGTATTGAAAAATAAACCGATTCAGCAATAATATCTTTCAACCTTTTGTCATTACTGTGACTTTTTTCTCAAAGGATTCATCCTTGAATTGTAAGTTTAGTTTGGAGCCACAGTAAAAAGCAGGTGGTTTGAAATATAGAATGGATGATATCTTATAAGAAATGCTTATGCCAGGGAATATGTTTTTTTGTTTGTTTTTGATTCATGTATTTTTGAGTAATCTTGCACGGTTCTGCATTCAAGGCTACAACATGTAAAATGATTGTGATATAAGTGATTTTACATGATTTATTAGCCCCTTAATTTTTAAGAAATATTAGACTTAAGTGGAAAACAAAATACAAGGTAAGATAATCCTTTATTGTGGAACGTCTCGTGACAGGTCAAATGACAATGGTGAAACTTCTCCATCTATTTGCCTCTGATCCAGTCCATTGAGACCAATCTTGCTGCCCGCTCAGCTAAAACTGACAAAGACAAAAATGTAAATAATTACAAGACTACAAAGCATGTTAAAAAAAAAAAATGCAGAAAGGACTGTTATAAACAAGAATGTTACTATGACTATGACAGTTACACTATTAAATAGACATAAAAATCCAAATGTTAAATTATTTACTAATTACAGCTATTACGCGGGCTGTTTTTGTTGTCATCTTTTTCTTCAGTAATAAAAACTAACCATAAATGAATGAATGGAGACTAGATTCATTCAATCTGACAGTATTCAGTAGATTAAAAAAATATTTAACCAATGTTATAGGATATGCGTATAGTTAAATTTAAAGACATCTTAATTTTAAAATGATACACACACTGAAAAAATATTAATACCTTGACATCACCCAAGATCTAATGTACTGCACAAGACATTCAACCAGCTCAGACAAAAACTTTTCCAGTCTTTGAGCTAAAATTGTGGTTTCTTCATCTGTGGGGCTCTCTTCAATGTCCTTGCAATTTGACACATCTGTGGATAAATGACATGTGAAATAATGTGTTGACAAGATTTCTTTAAAAAGTAAACACAGAATATTTTACCATAATCATTGTTAAATTGCAGAGGTTGTGGTAGATTCAGACATGCAGCTTGTGTCTCAAACTCCTTGAGGTCAGCAGCATCAATAGTAGTCTTCCGACCTATTATAAAGAGTACTTTTTAATGTATTGAGATTTTTTTACAATCAGAATGGTGTAATCTTTAGGTAAAATATGATACAGCACATAGTAATATACATGCTTTCTTACTGTATAGGAGAAGGACTTTTACTAGTCCATCCATCTTCCAAACAGTGCAGTCAGAGCAGCTACTGTGCAGTAAGTGATATGTCTCATCTGCTATAAACACACAGACACAATATTGCATTTATAGTGCAAAATTTAACATTTCATACAACAAATGTACACAAACTTACATTTATTGCCATTCTGAGTGGTCACTGAGGTCTTGTCAAATGAAACGGATTCAGTTTCATTCATACAATATGACAGTCTGGAAAGAAAAACCATGAGAAAGGATTGTCAACTTTCAGTTACCTAATATCACACTGCATTTAAAAACGACATTTAAGTATGTACGTTTTAAGTGTTGTAGTCACTTCATAGCTGTTGGGGGCTTCCTTATAAACAGCATCCAGCACCACACTTGGCTTCATGAAAGTGTTTAAAAAACTTGAAATTGCACAAGAATCTGTGGACACTGCATGCACATACCATTTCCCAGCGAACTGCAAAAAATAAATGCACAAATAAAAATCAGTACATAGCATAAATAAATCATCTGAGAAATATGAAATAAGTATGTATTGAGAGGTTCTTACATTCAGGTCATGGTGTTGAGTGACCATGAGCAGCTGGTCACAGGTGAGAGGTGCGGCTCTGCAGACTGAGAGCAAACCCAAACACAGCACTGCACACAGGGCCTTCATCTCTGCACTGCCACCACAGTGCAGCACATCCGCTTTATCACAGCTCACTGACCAGTTAGAGTGCTTCTGTCAGCAACGCCCCCTCTTCCAAAGGGCTATGGATCTATGAGTACAAATACTCGCTTCCCAGCACTGGCTATCGTACATGGATAATATGATCATTTCTATTAGTTTAGCAACATTAAAGTAAACACTAGGGCTGGATTTACTGGACAGAGATGTATATGACCTCATGGTCCTGAAGTCTTTGTTTGCCATCATTTACTAGAAATCTCCACATACATAGAACATGTAGTACAGGCCCACCAAGATGATTTGTACTCAGGGCCCAGACGTTTGTACTACAAATGCTGTAGTGCTACTCCCCTACGCATGCAAGTTGCAATTTTGAACATATGGTGTTTGGAGTTTAAAAGCCTGACAAATGTGAGAATACCTTAATAGAATAAATAGTCTCAGAGCTGGACAATTCCTTGTTCACTTCCCAGTGTCATGGCTGGTGCTCCCCTCCCTGTGTGTGTGTGAGTGTGTGTGTGTGGGCGGAGTCTCCTGGTCCTGATTCGTCGCACCTGCAAGCAATCAAGAGCCATCTACTTCAGACCTGCTCACCTGTGAGACTCTGCCAGATTGTTAGCTACCTACACACGGTGAACCTCCTGGCTCCTCATTCCGAGTTTTTGTAATTCTACCTTTTCGCTTCGACGTTTTCACTTACCCGCGTTCTCTGCTCACCAGTGTTCCCTGCCGTCTCCAGTCCTGCTCCAAGCCCTGCTCCAAGCCCTGCTCCAGCCCTGCTCCAGCCCTGCTCCTGCCCTGCTCCAGTCCTGCCTCCAGCCCTGCACAAGCCCTGCCTCCATTTTGTAAAATAAATTCACCTTTTATTTTTACCTGGTCTGTTGTCCATTTTTGGGTCCCTCCTCTGCTTAACCGTAACAGAACAATCTGGCCAAATGGACCCATCGGACCAGGACCAAGACCCTGTTCTTCAGGCTCTGGCCACACAGGGGGTCAGAGTGGGCCAACATGAACGGATCCTTAATCAAGTGACTGAAAGACTCTGTGAATTGTCCGTGAATGTAACTCAACTTTCCATGCAACTTAATCAGCTCGCTGCTCAGTTCTCACCTGTGCTACCATCACCACCTGTTGGTCAACCTCAACCACCTTCTCCAGTCCAGCCTCCCGTCTCTTCCGCTCGTGAGCCACATATTCCAACTCCAGAGCGCTACTCCGGTGATCTTGGGTCCTGTGGTCAATTCCTCCTCCAGTGCTCCCTAGTGTTCGATCAGCAACCCCACACCTACCATACAGATAAGTCTCGTATCTCATTTCTAATAAGTCTACTCACTGGTAGAGCTGCACAATGGGCCACTGCTGTTTGGGAATCAGACTCCACCTTATGCCAGTCATACGTTAATTTCACTATTTCAGGAAAATATTTGACCACCCACTTAAAGGCAAGGAGACAGCAAGACGCCTCCTCTCACTCAATCAAGGCTCATCATCTGTTGCCCAATACGCCATAGATTTTCGCATTCTAGCAGTTGAGAGTGGTTGGGACGATACGGCATTACAAGGTGTTTTTATGAGGGGGTTGAGTGATCGAGTAAAGGATGAACTGGCTGCACGTGATGAGACTAACACTCTCGAAGAACTCATTTCCCTTGCCACCCGTCTTGACAATAGACTTAGAGAGAGACAAAAGGAGAAATCACGACAATCCTCACCTCGTACCCTCACTATCTCGGGTTACTTCCTCTGTCTCAGATGCCCCATCTAACAGTTTCCCTGTGCATTCCAGTTCCCCTGAGTTCTCTACGGGAGAGGAGCCTATGCAGCTGGGCCGGGCTCAGTTAACATCTGCAGAACGCCAGCGCTGTCAGCAGTCTGGACTGTGTATTTACTGCGGAGGGGCTGGTCACTACATCAGTTCCTGCCCTCAGCGACCAAAAGAGATGGCACCAGTAAATGGAGAGGTTCTGGTGAGCCAAACTACTACTCTCCCGGTTGCCTCTCCACATAGACTGCAGCTCCAATCTACTCTGTGCTGGTCAAACGAGTCTATCCCCCTCCTTGCACTCGTTGACTCAGGAGCAGACTGCAATTTCATTGACTCTAACTTTGTATCTCAAGCTAATATTCCTTTGGATCCCATAGAACCCCCCAGGGATGTTAATGCTTTGAACGGTGAGAGGCTGGCAAGGATCACTCACAAGACTGTTAATTTAACACTGGTTTTGTCTGGTAACCACAGGGAAGTTATTCAGTTTTTGGTTATTTCTTCACCTCACGCCCCTATAGTTTTGGGACTCCCCTGGCTAAAACTACACAATCCTCATATTGACTGGGCTAAGAACAACATTGCCGGCTGGAGCACTTTCTGCCATTATAACTGTCTCCAATCAGCCATCACCCCCAGCAGACTAGTCTCTTCTCCTCCCCCCAGTCCTCCTGATCTGTCTGCTGTGCCCCCTGAATATCACAATCTGGGTGAGGTGTTCAATAAACAGAGAGCACTTTCCCTACCTCCACACCGTCCCTATGATTGTGCTATTGATCTCCTTCCTGGTGCCCCTTTACCATCCAGTCGCTTATATAAACTTTCCGGTCCTGAGAGGGAGGCTATGGAGGTTTATATTAAAGACTCTTTAGCTGCAGGGTTGATGCGTCCCTCTTCGTCACCAGTAGGTGCTGGGTTTTTCTTTGTGGGCAAGAAGGACAAGACTTTGAGGCCCTGTATAGACTATAGAGGGTTAAATGACATTACTATTAAAAATAAATACCCACTTCCACTCATTTATTCAGCCTTCGAACCCCTTCATCAAGCCACTATTTTTACGAAACTGGACTTAAGAAATGCCTATCACCTTGTACGCATCCGACAGGGTGATGAATGGAAGACCGCATTTAATACCCCTCTTGGACATTTTGAATACCTTGTGATGCCTTTTGGTCTTATTAACGCTCCAGCAGTTTTCCAAGCCCTCGTTAATGATGTTCTTCGGGATATGTTGAATAAGTTTGTTTTCGTTTATTTGGATGATATTCTCATTTTTTCCAGGGATCTCAAGGAACATGTGCAGCATGTCAGGCTCGTGCTGCAACGCCTCCTAGAGAATAAGCTTTTTGTGAAAGCGGAGAAGTGTGATTTTCATGCAGCAACAGTTAACTTCCTGGGCTTTGTTATCCAACAGGGGCAGATAAAGGCTGATCCAGAAAAGGTGAAAGCCGTGGCAGAGTGGCCCCAACCTGAAACCAGGAAACAACTGCAGCATTTTCTGGAGTTTGCCAATTTTTACAGGCGATTCATTAAGGACTACAGCAGAAAGGCAGCCCCGCTGACCCGTCTCACCTCTACCCTCACCCCCTTTAAGTGGTCCAGTGAGGCGCAAGATGCATTTGCTAATCTTAAGTCTCTGTTCACCTCTGCTCCTGTCCTGTCTCATCCTGACCCCTCCAAGCAATTTATCGTGGAGGTTGATGCCTCTGACTCTGGGGTGGGAGCTGTCCTTTCCCAGCGTTCCCCTAGAGATAAAGATTCATCCTTGTGCTTTCTTCTCACGCCGTCTGTCCCCTGCTGAGGTGAACTATGACATTGGAAATAGAGAGCTTTTGGCTGTGGTTTTGGCCTTGCAGGAGTGGAGGCACTGGTTGGAGGGTGCGGAACATCCCTTCATTGTTTGGACTGACCACAAAAATCTTGCATATCTCCGTTCTGCCAAGAGACTCAACTCTCGACAGGCGAGGTGGGCTCTGTTTCTGGGAAGGTTCAACTTCATCCTAACCTACCGCCCTGGCTCTCGGAATATAAAACCGGATGCCTTGTCTCGTCAGTACTCTCCTGACGTCCCTGAGTCCCAGCCTGTCCCCATCCTGCCTGAGACATGCAAGATTGTTGATCCAGATGACTCTCCTGAGATTGCTCAATCTACTTACCTGGTCGCGTCTATTCATTGGGAGATCGAAAGAGTGGTCCAGGAGGCTCTACAAACCCAACCTACCCCAGGTAACTGCCCCCCTAACTCACTTTTTGTGCCAGAGTCTGTGCGAGCTCAGGTCCTCCAGTGGGGGCATAGTTCCAAACTTACTTGTCACCCTGGTTTCCACCGGACCTTAGCCTTTCTGAAGCAAAGATTCTGGTGGCCATCTATGAGGAAGGACACGCAGTCTTTTATCGCTGCCTGTACTACTTGTGCCCGTAACAAATCAAATCATCAAGCTCCCTCTGGTCTCCTCAACCCCTTACCTATTCCCCGCAGGCCTTGGTCCCACATTGCTATTGACTTTGTCACTGGACTCCCAAACTCTGATGGTAATTCAGTTATTCTCACTATAGTGGACCGTTTCTCTAAAGCTGTACATTTTGTGCCCCTCCCCAAATTGCCATCTTCCACTGAAACCGCTAATCTTTTGGTCCTTCATGTGTACAGGCTCCACGGCATCCCTACTGATATTGTTTCCGACAGAGGACCACAATTTACGTCTCAGGTATGGAGGGCATTTTGTCAAGCCCTGGGAACTTCCTCCAGTCTCTCGTCAGGGTACCACCCTCAGTCTAATGGTCAGACTGAGCGGGCCAATCAAGACCTTGAAACTGCCCTGCGCTGCATCACTGCCCGTAACCCAGCCACATGGAGCACATATTTGCCGTGGATCGAATACGCTCACAATTCTCTAGTATCCTCTGCCACAGGTATGACCCCATTCATGGTTTCCTTGGGTTTTCAACCACCTCTGTTCCCAGATCAAGAGGAGGATGTGGCGGTTCCATCAGTCCAGGCTCACTTGAGACGCTGTCAACATGTCTGGAGAGCTGCTCGAGTTGCACTGCAGCGCACAGCTACTCGCAATCAGAGATTTGCAGATAGACATCGCAAGCAATCCCCTCCCTACCAGCCTGGACAAAAGGTTTGGCTGTCTACCCGTGACCTCCCTCTACAAGTAGAGTCTAAGAAACTGGCACCCAAGTTTATTGGTCCGTATGTCATTGAAAGGGTGATAAATCCTGCTGTTGTGCGTCTCAAGTTGCCTTCCTCTCTGAAGATCCATCCATCGTTTCACGTGTCTCTCCTCAAGCCGGTGTCGTCCTGCCCTCTCAGCCCTCCGGCCGATCCCCCTCCTCCCACCCGGGTCATTGATGGTTACCCGGCCTTCACAGTGAGTCGGATTCTGGATGTTCGGCGTCGTGGGAGGGGTTTTCAATACCTGGTTGACTGGGAGGGATACGGTCCAGAGGAGCGCTCCTGGATTCCCCGCAGCAACATCCTGGATAAGTCCCTCCTCCGGGACTTCTACAGGGCTTTCCCAGACAAGCCTGGTAAGACGTCTGGAGACGTCCGTTAGGGGGGGGGTACTGTCATGGCTGGTGCTCCCCTCCCTGTGTGTGTGTGTGAGTGGGCGGAGTCTCCTGGTCCTGATTCGTCGCACCTGCAAGCAATCAAGAGCCATCTACTTCAGACCTGCTCACCTGTGAGACTCTGCCAGATTGTTAGCTACCTACACACGGTGAACCTCCTGGCTCCTCATTCCGAGTTTTTGTAATTCTACCTTTTCGCTTCGACGTTTTCACTTACCCGCGTTCTCTGCTCACCAGTGTTCCCTGCCGTCTCCAGTCCTGCTCCAAGCCCTGCCTCCAGTCCCTGCCTCCAGCCCTGCACCAGCCCTGCCTCCATTTTGTAAAATAAATTCACCTTTTATTTTTACCTGGTCTGTTGTCCATTTTTGGGTCCCTCCTCTGCTTAACCGTAACACCCAGATTGATAACATTTCATAACATTGACTTCTGCTTCTGATGGAGCAATCTGTCAGGGGTTTAGGGGTTTAGGGGTTTATATACACACCTGCATCCAGGTGATCAAGTTAAAAAATGTGCCTAGTGTGAGTGTAACACATACACACACGACAGTGTAGTAATCATAGGGGTACGCTGGACAAGAACACATTTAAATAGCATGTGGTGGTCAGACACAATATCAGAAGACAGAATATCCAGTAGCCTGTGCTATTAGAGTAGTGTGATCATAACTCAAGTAGCTTTTACAGTCTGCGACCGTGTTCCCAGTTTAACCCCAAAGCTCCGCCTCCAGTCCTCGTGGAGCGCGCTCCTTCAGTGCGCCACTCTGCCAAGAGAAAACAGGGAACGGGGAAGTAGGAAGTAGGCCTATATTCTTTGTACTTGTGAGTTCTTCTAGTTTTCTACGTGTCAATATCCTTTGCTTTGTTTCTGAATCTGCCTGTAATGTGACATTTGAGTGCTGCCATACCATATCCCCGCTGCAAGTCTACGCGTTATATCGCCTATAGTTTTTCTTTGCTATTTATAAAGTTATCAAAGCGATAGTATCGCCGCTGAATTCATCTCAGATTAGCGCTTTTATCTTTGCACTGTGAGTGCAGTTAGCGCCAAGAGCCGAGCGCCTGGTGCTCAGTTTTGCTGCGGTAAACATAAACATAAGGTATAATAAAAGCAGACCTACATGTTATAGCATACCCTAAGCTAGCGTTTAAAGCTAATAGGCTTCGATAGTCCTGCACAGTTTGGTTTTGGCTGTATGGACCAACTGGCCAAAGTTCCCTTCCTCTACTCACTGTTACGATACTATGAGCCATAAGCCGATACTAGACCAAAATAGCCTGTACTTTTGTAACGTTCATCTTGTCTTCAATTATGATGGATGTATACATTTCATTTAAAAGTTGCCTGATTAAAAGAAAATAAACTAACTAAATACCTCTATAATTTGTAGGCTATTTATTTATCTTTTTATAGTGTCAATAGCCTAGCGACGGCTACACTGAATTATTGCATGTGCTGATGATGCAGTTTAGTCTTGTTTTATGCACCTGTCTTTACCTCTTTCTAGTTCCTTGTCGTCATGCATTTGATCATTCGCCGGTTTCATCCCTCAGACAGAGACAGTGTATGTGAGCTGTTTAGCGTTGGGATTAAGGAGCACATTGGCCCATGTTTCTATAATGCCATGAGCAGCCGTCTCTACATCACCATCACCACCTCCCTCTGTGCTGCTGGATACTGCCTTGGATCATGGTTAGGGGCTGTTCTCTTACCAGGACTATGGATAAGTGTTGTTTACTATTGCTGCTATGAGATCTATGCAGGCTATGTGAGGAACAGACTCCGAACAGACATGCGGGACATTCCTGGGTGCTTCATGAGCAGGCCTGGAGACTGCTTCTGGGTGGCTGAAGCTGAGATGGAGGGTCATGCTCAGATCCTGGGCACTGTGGCTGTGGTGGAGAGAGAGGACGGTGGAGAGAGGTTTGGTGAACTCTTCAGGATGATCATCGCTCCTACATGCAGGCGCATGGGCTTGGGCCGGAGACTTACACAGACTGTTGTGGACTTTTGTAAAGAGGGAGGCTTCTCTAAAGTAGTGCTGGAGACCAGCTCTACTCAGGCAGCAGCTGTGGCTCTGTATGAAAAAATGGGCTTTAAAGTAGTCCTTGTACATAAAAAAACAGAGGCAGCATTCTGGATCACACTTCTCTCTCAAATTACAGTCATAAGGATGGAGAAATGTATAGTATAAACTTTAATTACAATTCTGATCACAAAGTTAGACATGATGACCAAACAGTTCTGAAGTTCTAATAGAAGAATAAGCATTATTCTAATACTGTGATAATGTGTTGATGTGATTATTATATGCACATAATCAGGCGTCAATGTTGTATTTCAAAAAAATGAACACTTGGGGGAGCTCTCAGATCAAAATCTGAACTGATGATTGTTGATATATTTTGATTAGGTTGTTTTATGTATATATAGTTATAAGAAAAATGCCATAAAAACAGGACCACTGATGTTTTTATTTGTGTTTTCTTTATTAATATAAAACAGGAAACATTTACAATATTTTTGTATTGTTTTTCATTAACATTGGCAATAGGTGCCAGTTTAAAGCATTAGGCCTATACCTTTTTTTTTATGTGACATTGAAAAAGCTTTATACTGAATGAATTAGGTTTTACAAAAAGTGATGATCAAAATAATGTCACTAACAATATAGCAATATACAGCAAGTATGGAGTAAACTAAATCTTTTTCAATAATGTTCAACTAATCTGTAAAGATATGGGTTAGTGTCAGTTGCGCACTTCAAAATTATGTAATATAGTCTATGTCCATGCTGGGCTTTATCTTAACTTTATGGTACTTCGCCCCAACATAACTTATCTGTTAACTGTTATGTAGCCTAGTAAAATGCTTCTGACTTAGGTGGAAAATTAGCTTTACTGTGGTCATTATTTTTCAAGCACTGCTGTCAGCTGTTGGGCTTTCAACTGGGTATATTGTGAGTAAGATCTTTCTCCTCAATATTATCATCAGTTATTTATCAGTCCTCACGATGTAAATTCTGGGTAATAGTGCATTAGGTTTAATTGATATGGTATTTCCTTACAGCTTTTATAGTCATGAAGCTTGTGATTCGTGCGTACCATCCATCAGATGAAGCCCCTGTATGTGAGCTGTTTAGCGTTGGGATTAAGGAGCACATTGGCCCATGTTTCTATAATGCCATGAGCAGCCGTCTCTACATCACCATCACCACCTCCCTCTGTGCTGCTGGATACTGCCTTGGATCATGGTTAGGGGCTGTTCTCTTACCAGGACTATGGATAAGTGTTGTTTACTATTGCTGCTATGAGATCTATGCAGGCTATGTGAGGAACAGACTCCGAACAGACATGCGGGACATTCCTGGGTGCTTCATGAGCAGGCCTGGAGACTGCTTCTGGGTGGCTGAAGCTGAGATGGAGGGTCATGCTCAGATCCTGGGCACTGTGGCTGTGGTGGAGAGAGAGGACGGTGGAGAGAGGTTTGGTGAACTCTTCAGGATGATCATCGCTCCTAAATGCAGGCGCATGGGCTTGGGTCGGAGACTTACACAGACTGTTGTGGACTTTTGTAAAGAGAGAGGCTTCTCTAAAGTAGTGCTGGAGACCAGCTCTACTCAGGCAGCAGCTGTGGCTCTGTATAAGATGGTGGGCTTTGACCTGGTTACCACAAAGAGAAGAGCGGAGGCCCCGTTATTGTTGCCTTTCTTGGCCAGAGTATCAGTGCTAAGAATGGAAAAACATGTAGAGCTTCGCTTTTGATCTGTACTCCTTGTGGTCATTTCTTCTGTAGTGTTATAATGAGAATGTTAGTAATTACAAAAGTTAAAAGTTACATTTGAATAAAAGACAAACTGTTGTTTATTGATAACTGAAACTGTGCATATGCAATTCCATACATTATTACAACAAATCATGCAAACATATTTTTAAACTTATAGGTGGTAGAGGGATAACTGAAAAAGACAGCTCCATTAAGGCAAAAATCATTATTACATTTGTATTACAATGTTTTACATTGCATTGTTGCCATAGTAGAGGAATAAAGAATAAATCATTTCCCAACACATAATAAAATGTATTGAAAAAACATTTTGTTAACCATGCAGCTATACAACAACAATAGCAGCAGAGAGCGCCATTTCACAACGTTTGAGGGCTCAAAGTTAACAGGCATTTTCATGGTTCAATAACGTTGGCATATTTAAACTGGCAAATTACCACTTTTATATATATATATATATATATATATATATATATATATATATATATATATATATATATATATATATATATATATATATATATATATATATATATATATATATATATATATATACCTTCATATAAGGTTTTGTCATTCTTCATTCTGTAGTTTATTTATTATATATTATATATAACTGAACATGTTTTTGCTTTTGTTCGCTGCATGCAATGATTTGGAATGACCCACACTGCAGTAAAAGCAACATAGCTCTCATTCCACTTCATTTGTCATGGGAGGCCTCTTGTGGTGGTGGGGCTGTTTTCACTTGCACAAACCGTGGTCTGCTCTGGTCTTTACATCTGGCAAAAACAAGTGACTTCCCTCTCTGAGCCTCACATCTTTGGAGGAAAACACTCACATCCACATACCTCCTGAATGACACATGTGGTGCAGGCCATGAGGAGGTCCACGAGATCAACAACAAGAGCAATAACATATCACTGGAGTGGGCGTTAATTGGTTATGATATATCTGAGCTATGAAAGTGGAAAACAAAATACAACAGCGTTTTGAAGAAGTATCAGACAGCATAAGGTTTCAAGTGGAACAACAAAATGATCCATTTTTATAATTTTTCTTAATATCACCTTCAAAGTAGAACCTAGATAAACCAAACTTTCCAGCCTTGTACTAAACAGGATTTTGACAGATTGTGCAAGTATTTGTTGACATCTAATTGTAAACTTAATTTATTGAAGTTTTAACTTGAAAAGTAAATATTTGAAATAAGACAAATCCCCTCTGTAGATTCTATTAACTATTATGTCAACAGAATTAAGAAAGAAAATTAAAGATGTCTCTTTCAACTTTTAACATTAATTTGTTAATTTTACACATACAATACCTTAAGTATGAAAATGTTATGGATGGAAAAACTTTGAATACATTTTCTTACATTTTATACACCTGCAGCCTTTTGCTTTATTAAATTATTCTGTGACCTGAGTAACTCCTAAAAATTACGTAGTGATGTACTTGAATTTCATCAAGTTTGTATATTTATTTAAATTTTATCTCAAGTGATACTTTAATTTATGGTTTATTATGAACTGCTAATAAGTTTTGTATTAATCGACCACACAGCTGTAGCCTGGTTGCTATCGCTCTCTCTCTTTTAATACAGAAGTATATCAGTCAGTTTTGTGCTGGGTTTAGTTTAGTGCTTTGTTCATTGATTCCGAAGGAAATACACATTTGTCCCTTAATATATTTTTTCCTCATAGGCAGCCGTATTTGTTTTGATACAGGCGGACCAGGGTTTAACTTAAAAACTGGCTATTACACTTGTCAGTCAAGCCGGTTTGAACACTGGGAAATTCAATAATGACCAGAATCTCACCTTTGTTCAGTATTGAAAAAGTGTGTATTGTGTATCTCAGGCAAGTATCTTGGTAAATCATCTGGCTTACAAAGTTACAATTGACTCTAGTATTCAAGTATTTTTGCTCTACTGTCTCGGTGTGGTCCCCCTCCCGAACATTCCTGTACCACATAAGCGGCGGCAGCAGCACTCTTGTTTTGAGTTCATCTCTACTCACTTCTCAGGTGAATGACACTTGGCAGCGCTCCAGAGTAAAGAGTGGGATTGAGAAAGCCCATGTTATAACACTTGGCAGAATGTTTGTGTGCTTTATGTGTCCATCAGAGGCTGTGGGTTCAATGCTTGTGACAAAAAGCCCAACAACATGCCAAGAGTCAGCTGCTGGTATCATGAACTATGGGGGGGTTAATATGTTTTTAGACTATACATATCTGTAGAAAAGGCACAATGAGGTAAGGACAAACAGTAAAGGTACACTGTGTAACTTTTTGGTAGTGGGTCCATCATCGTCTTGTTTCTATGGAAATGTAATTGCCCTGCTTGGAATGTTCCACAGTGTGACATTAAATGGATCTACCATACATTTATTCAATTACAGGTGGTTTCATTGCTTAAAATATTCAGAAAAACAGGTATTCTGATTGATAGTCGGATTGGCACTCCACAGACCTGTAACTTGGCCTGCTTTGGTCCATGATGATAGAAAAGATTAATACCATACAGTGAAATATTCCAGACAAAGCAATAACATCTCCATGGAGAAAAACATCTGACAGGCCCTCCACCCGAAAAGTTACACAATGCACCTTTAAACAAGAGATAACTGAAGATGATTTTCTTTTTGTGTAATTGTTGGTACATACATACAATTTTGCCCTAACATTTAAAAGTTTAAAACAAATCTACTAGAAGTTCAGAAGGCTGTTATAGGAAATGATTTTCAAACACAGATTTCCATGACTACTAGTTTACATTTGGCAGAGGGACAGGCTAGTCTGGTGGCTTATGTTTACAAGTTGAGGGTGGGGTTCTAAGGAGAAAAACTTGATGATGAAAAATGATGAAGATCTCTTGTGTAACATTGTTACAGAATGGCTTTGTGAATAAACCCTTGAAAAAACAAAACAAAACAAAAAATATATAATTACATGATGAAAATGAATCAGCAAAGTTAATTTACTACTATAGGAGCCTAAATATGCTGGCTGATATAAATTCTAAATATGTTGAAATATGTTTTATTTTTTATTTTTATTTTTATTTTTTAGAAAATATCAGCTCTGATCCCTGTGCTAAATACTTAATATCAAATTGAACTACACTCTGCATGAATGTGGTGATGGTGTTTGGAATTTAAAAACATGAAAGCACACTTTATGTATTACCACTGGAGGGACATGACCTATCACTCAAATATAATCCCCCAGTGTTTTTAATATAAGGGCTAAAAGTTCAGTCAAACCTTTACAAAAGGTTAAAAAACAAGCATCTTTCCAACACATCAAAGATTACTACAGTTCTTTACACAATGAGTAAATAAGCAAATATTTGTGTTCAACCAAAGGAGCAACAGGTGAAATTTCACAAGACAGGCCTTTTCACAATCCTGACCAATTTAATCGCCACTCCGCTGCCAGCATGTGTAAAAGTTATTGATCAGGTCACGTTGACAGAACAAGCCCTGATAAAACATGTCCATAACATGCTGTGTGTTAAATTTTTTTTTTTCCCCTGAAGAATCCAGCCTACATATCACCCTTAAAATATGGGTTTATTCTATAGATTGGATTCTAGATTGGTCAGTACCTACTCCCGTACCTATCTGCACCAGTCAATGTATATGGAAGTCTACTTTATTAATTCTATCGATAAGGACGATGAGAAAAAGAAATATGGTGACTCACTTGCTATTGTTCAGCGATTCTCAAACATGCACTTTGTACTATTCTAGACAATGTGTTTACAACGTTCACTGAGTTAGGACCAGTAGGGTAAAAGTTTAGCTAATGTAACTATTACTACTGCTGACTACTGTGCATAAGGGATTTTTTTTTTTTTTTTTTTTTAAGTAGCATTGACCACTAGTTGGAACATGAAAAGTAGGCCATTCTGTTACTTTTAGTTTATTAGGGGGATATTGTTTTAAATATAATCTAAGAAGTGAACTAAATACCTGGCTTACAAGTTCAAACATGTGAATAGTTAAGTGTTTTGAGATTATTTTTGCTATAACACAGCCACAGTTAGGTTTAGTACTAAGTGAACACAAATGAGGCCAGTTAAGAGCAGCCCCACAGAGACGTTTTACAGTGCTCCTCTGCACAATATGACTTCCGCTCCCGTGAAATAATATTTATCACCCAGTAAATGTCAATGTTGCATTATTAAGACTTACTACACCTCACAACTTTTACAAGGGAGTTTTACAGTGCCACTGATTCTCCCAGCAGTTAAAGTCTTCAGTGATTATACACAGAAGCACCGGGATACCTTTGACAAACACTTTTCTTTTTTCATCCCTTTGGCAGAAGAGAATAACAAGTTTACAGCAAAAAGGGATCAGAGTCCTCCAGTGGGAGACCTTGAGGAGCCAGTTCATGGAGAAATCGATGCTCTGATCTGAAAAATAAACTGGGCGAAAACAACCGTTGGAACGAGGTGAAGGCACAGTGAGAAAGGGGCGGGTGGAGGGGGTAATTACGCACTGTGCTGAGGGGTTAACGATCAGATGGCTGGCCTCATCCCCTGTGTAATAACATCCCGGCAGAGGTCAGTAACTTGGTGGCCTCACAGACCCTTGGGAAGACATGCGCACACACACATAAACAAACACACACGTTCAAACAGGTACTGGATTTAAAAGACTATATTCTGCATTATCTGATTCATAATCTTTCTATTCTCTGTTCTCTTTTAGTGGGCAAATTATTATGTGTAAAAGTCAAAACTCTCAAATGTCCGTCTATTTTCAAACATCAAAACTGCCTTCTTCCAACCCCTTCAGGCAGACACATTGAGTTTTCATGAAAATAAAAGCTAAATGATAAAATATTAAAATTAAATAATAGCAAAATTTCAAAACTTCCCAGGTGGAAATTCACAAGTATTTAAAATTCTAAACTGGAACCAGGGAATAGACCTATGATGCGTTCAATTTCATTATTTATTTTTCCG